TATATTCTTATAAAAGGTATTTAAATTTTCAAACTACTTTTTCTCATTAATTTTAAATTTTAAGATAAAAATTAGCAAGCACCCGTGTAATACACGGGTGTTGTACTAGTTTAAAAAAATTTCAAAAAAATGTATGCATTAAATGCTTCCAAAATTTTTTACTAATATTTTTAGCAAATGATTATTCTTATTATATATATATATATATATATATATAGACAATTAATTTTAATTTCTTATATTCCTGTCTTCAGGAAGCATTCCTTGTCTTTGATTTTGTATTATTCTATTTCTGTGAACTTCTAAAGATTACATTGACCTTCTTCCTTTCCTTCTCAGATAGGGAACTTTCTGAAATCGGCAAACCGGTACTCGCTAGGTAAGGAAACGATTCCGCCTGTAGTCAAAGTCCAAACGCCTATTCCAGCTCGCCATAGCGGAGGGACCTGAGAAGCAAGCAATCCAATAACTGATCCAACTAGTAGGTGAAGGGGCATAGAGAACTCCGGTCTTCTTTCCCAACTCTTGAGGTAAGATCCTATACTATAGAATGGCTCCTGGATTGCCTCGAGCAAGACCCCTAGCTGCAGCACAGGATACTCCACGCACGGGCAAGCCGTCAAGCTCAAGATGGATGATGAATAAGGTCAATTACATCGAGCCTCGAAACTCCTAAGTTGGTTGAATCCAGCGAAGACTTGACTGGAAGGGCACTCTGTGGCCGAAGTTGACTCGCTTCGCCCTTACCTACCAGTGCTGGAGCCTCAGCCCTTTGGTAACTGTCCGATCATTCGCTAGTGGTCTTTCTCGCACTTATCCGGTATTAGGTACTCTCGGCACTCTTTTCACCGATGTTTTGGCTAATGCTAGCCATTTGGGTCGAACAATAGCACGGGCAAACCAACGCTTTGATGAAAGTCGTACCTGGCTATCGAACTCCAGAAGATGAAAAGATAGCTGCTTTTTTCAAAACAGGGTAGCTCTTTCTTTAGAGATTGCTACGAACTCGCCTAACTGAACTGCCCACTTTCTTTGCGTCATTTCATGTTACCTCGTGCAATTTTAAGGCTTAGCGGGCTAGTTGTCACGGCAAGTTTCCTGGTGAAACGTCATTGAATTTAAACTTTATTTATTACATAATATAATTTCTATCATACATGTGCATAATTAAAAAGTACTAGTCCATGTATAATATGGAATGTCAGGGAGCATTACTGTATGAAGTGTTGGACTAGTATAGTAAA